AGAAAAAATTGGATCTTAATTTTTTATTGTTTATCTAAGCTCTTAGAGACGCAGTAATTTGTCCTTCTTGTTCCTCTGAGATCAATATCATGTAGTTTGCCTTGATTGCACACATTAACCACAACCTTTCATGAGAAAAGTTTTTTTTGCTAGACTCAGTTAAAGAAAAAATTTATTAGCAGAGAAAGTTTTGATTTTGAAGTTTAAGGTTATCTTAGCAAATAAATAGGCCTTATTTTGCCCTTGTCGTTCCTCTAGAATCTATATCAAGTTTAATTGCTGAGTTTCAGACAATATAAACGAGGTTTCATGCAAAAAAAAAGAGTTTTGCTAATCTGAAACACCTTAGGGCTAACTTTAAAAAAGATTTTGACGCAGTTAAATTTCGAGTTTTTAAAGAATATTGGTATTGTTGGAAAGCCTAATAGCACATAATTTCAACCAGATAGTCCTGACAAACCCAAAAAAAAATCAAAAAACGCCAAAGAAACAAAAAAACCTCGTTTGAGTTCAACCTTTACAAAAATGTTTGGTCCAGTGAAGGGAGCCATAGGGTAAAAAAAAAAAAATGAGCTCTGAAAAACGAAAAAAAAATTAAAAACAGCTTAGAGCTAACTTAAAAGAGTTTTACTTCGAGTTTTGAAAAAGAATTGGTATCGTTGGACAGCTTTATAACACATCAATTCAACTCGATAGTCCTGAGATAAGCCAAAAATACGAAAAAAAAACCTCAATTGAAATCAAACTTTACAAAAAACTTTTGTCTAGTGAAAACAATCATAGGATTCTCATACCTTGCCGGTTCTTTCAGGTTACGGTTGTAGATGTCTAGCACATACATAGCAGTCAATTTTACTCGAATAACTTTGATATTTCACTCATAGAGGGCATTTGAGCTCAGAAAAACGAAGAAAATTCTTAAAAACCATCTTTAGGGCTAACTTAAAAAAAACGTTTGACCAAGTTATATATCGAGTTTTTAAACTTTATTAGTATCGTTGGAAAGCCTGATAACACATCTTTTCAACTCGATAGGCCTGATTAATCCAAACAAACGAAAAACAAATCAGAAAAACGCCAAAATTACGAAAAACCTCAAAAACCACCATTTCTCAGTGTCACTTTGGCAAAAAATTTTGTGTAGTGAAAACAATCATAGGATTAATATACCTTGCCGGTTCTTTCAGGTTACGGTTGTAGATGTCTAGCACATACATAGCAGTCAATTCTACTTGAATAACTTTGATATTTCACTCCTAGAGGGCATGTGAGCTCAGAAAAACGAAGAAAATTCTTAAAAACCATTTTAGGGATAACTTAAAGAAAAAAACGTTTTACCCAGTTATATATCGAGTTTTTAATTTTTATTAGTATCGTTGGAAAGCTTGATAACACATCTTTTTAACCCGATAGGCCTGATTAATCCAAACAAACGAGAACAAATCAGAAAAACGCCAAAATTACGAAAAACCTCAAAAACCACCATTTCTCAGTATCACTTTGGCAAAAAACTTGTGTAGTGAAAACAATCATAGGGTTATTATACCTTGCAGGTTCTTTCAGGTTACGGTTGTAGATGTCTAGCACATACATAGCAATCAATTTTACTTGAATAACTGTGATATTTCACTCATAGAGGGCATGTGAGCTCAGAAAAACTAAGAAAATTCTTAAAAACCATTTTAGGGCTAACTTAAAAAAAACGTTTGACCAAGTTATATATCGAGTTTTCAAACTTTATTGGTATCGTTGGAAAGCCTGATAACACATCTTTCAACGCGATAGGTCTGATTAATCCAAACAAACGAGAACAAATCAGAAAAACGCCAAAATTACGAAAAATCTCAAAAACCACCATTTCTCAGGGTCACATTGGCGCAAGTGACCAAAATGCATCCAAAAATAGGAAACTGCCAAAACAAATTATTTCATCGTTGTCCTTGTGTAAAACTACCCCTCTGTGCCAAATTTCATAATTTTTGCAACATAGGGTAAGATTTTGGTTTTTCGAACCTATGAGTTGTACTCGACCTTCTGGTACAGTTGATGTTTCTAGATTTAGCCATACAAAGTTATCTATATGGCTGGAAACCTCTGACAAAATGTGATCGAATGGTACCAGTTTCGTTATCCTAATCTTACTAGTTCAGGTTTTACAGCTAAATGAAAAAAAAAGTTAGCCCTAATTTTTCAAAAATTTTTCAAATGAGATTTTTGATAACTTTTGATGATCAAAAAAACAAAAATGAGGTACCTACGGACAGGAAAGGAACTGGGCAGAGGATTACAATGGTGTAATTTTTAGGTGAAAAAACTTAATTTAAACGTCAAAACTGAGCTCAGCAAAAACACCACAAAAACCACCATAGTGCTTAGCCCTATTTTTAAAAACTTGTTTTTCATGACTAAAATTCCAAAACAAAGACATAGCTGGACGTTAAATGCTGTTTTAAGTCCATTCCCGATGTCTATTTGCCAAATTTTGGCCATCTAGGTACATGGGCCGGCATTTCAAAAAAAGTTCACTCAGGGTTCGATGTTCACAAAAACCACCAGGGCGCAGGATTATCATACATATCTTTAGTCAGGCTATCGTTTTCAGAATAGTTATGATACTTTGAGATTGAAATGACCTCAAGTTGTTTCCGGAAAACGTTCGCATTTCCGGCAGCCGACAAACTGTCCTGGTTTCCCGGTCACATAATGCGAGGCATGAACAAAATGCAACAAGTGCTGAAATATGTTGACTGTCTGTTCGAAGTTAACGACACCCGAATTCCGTTCACGGGTCGTAACAAAACTTTCAAGCATCGCATTGGAATCAAGCCGAGAATTTTGTTGCTTTGCAAGAGTGATTTGGCAGATTTGAGTAAAACTCAGAAGTCATTGGTAAGAGATAGATTGATAGTCGAAGAGGATTACAAAGATGTCATGTTTGTCAATGCCAAAGTGGACAAGGATCCTGTACTGCGAGGGATCGTGGGTAGTTTTTGTCGAAATTGCACGAATTTTAGAAGTTGTGTTTCTAATTAATATTGGAAGTATTTCTGCAGATAGTAAGCGCGTGAGAGCATATCAAACCACTGATCTGTATTTTTCCCTTATATAAGACATCAAAAAAGTTTTCCCAATATTATTGTCCTTGCGATCAGCAGGGGTGTTGCAACCAGTTATGAGACTTTTCCCCCGTAAATAAGTTTGTTCACATAATAGACAATTTAGCAGAAATAGTTCGTGCTCTAGTACTTGAAAATTTAAATAAATTTTCATCATTTAAGTTAGGTAATAATTGGGTGGAGTTCGTTTCCGGCTCTAATTTTTATACAAAAAAATTTTCTTGAATAATTGTTGGGAAGTTTTTTCGGATTCGTGGTTTCCATACTTCTTTTATTTGCCCCGGTCCTACTCATTGCAAGGCCAACAGCGGGGGAGGGGGTTTAATCCATTTCGCCGTAGCCGGTCCCACCTTGAGGAGGCGGATGACACTGGGACCCCTCCAACCAAGAGCGAAGTACTGGTTTTCGTACTAGTTTCGGTCGGTTATTTTTCCGTTCTTTAAATGCCAATGATATATTATCTATCACGTTTTAATGGCTTATATTCCAGAACATGGCTTTTTGTTTAAAAAATATTAAATGTAATTGAAGTTTCTATAATTTTTTAATTTACCTAGTCAGATTTTGAGTCTGTTTTTCGTCTGTTGAACGGTTTTGGCTCATTTTTTATCGGCTACGCTTATATTCTGTACAGGGTCTTTTGAAAACACGTTTTTTATAATTCTTCTGCTGTTTCATAAATTTTTGGGTTGTTGAAGAAGTGATTTTTCTGCAGTAGGCAGCAAAAATTTGCCAAATTTTGATGATATAGTTCATTCAATGGGATTGTTTTTTTTTCACGCATATTTTGCGGTTGAATGAATTTTCACTGCATTTTATGCTGAACAAGCTAAAATAACCGGCTTAAGAAACTAAGATGTAACAATTAATTACTACAATTGACCGTTTACTTCCTTGATTTTGAACCAATTGAATTGACTCGTTTTAAGCGTTTAATTTTGTTTCAAAATTTTGCAAATTGCATGTCAAAAAACACTGGGAACATTCTAGGCAATTTTTGTCCTCGAAATTGAGAAAAACGATTTTAAATTTCTGTTTCAGTTTATTTTATCTGGTTGTTTACACTAGTGGGAATGCGAGCGTAGTGTTTTAGTACGAACTTCTTTTTTTCCAATCCAACTCGCAAATAACAGTGTTCATTGAAAGTGTTCACTTATTTGGTGGCACTTGATGTAATCACAATCTGTAGCATTAGAAATTTCATAGCATCTGTTTTCTGCTTTATTTGTGGCTAGTATTTTTGATTTAGTTAGTGTGTGAGACTCATTATCTCTATGTCGCAGATCGAATCCGAGACGTAACCGAATTTTTACTACTTCGAGGCTTATATCTACTGTTTCTTATTGCTCTTTATAGAGCTGCTTTTTTGTCGTGTTCGCGCTAGTGTTTGCGAAGCTCAGCTTTGCCTCTGTGTTTAATTCAGCACTAAGTAGCTTGTGTTCAGTGAAAAATGCAGTGAACGTTCATTAAATCGCTAAAACATGCGTAAACAAAAAACAAGCCAACTCAATGAATTATATCTTCAGAGTTTGGCAAATTTTTGCGTCCCACTGCTAAAAATAATCGCGTCAATAACTCAAAATTTTTGTGAAGCGCGAGAGGATTTATAAACACAATCTTTTAACGCTTTCTTGACCTCGCGAGAGGATTTAAAAACACAATCTTGTAACGCTTTATTGTTGTTATACCGCTTGGCCTCTGTGTTTAAAATTTGAACGAGTTTGACGTTCATGTTTTTAGTTGCAAAGAATTAAGTTACAGCATTTAGAAAATGCTTTTTGTATGTCGAGTCTCGAAATTCAAAATTACCATGAGTGGGAGCAATTTAGAGCCTCAAAACCGTTGAGGTGGCTCTCGTTATTTGAAATGTTTATCTTATTTCAGCTCGAGCAGTTGAAATTGTGAACTCGGAAGACAGATACAACAGAGAATACGTGCCCGACTACAGACTGATGGTGTGTGGGATACCCAACGTTGGAAAGAGCTCAGTCATTAACGCCATGCGCAGAATCTACATGGCCAGAAAGAAGCACAAGGCATCAGAAGTTGGAGCTAAGCCTGGTACTGAACCCTCATTTGACCATTTTGCTTACCGCCAGTCTTGGGAACTCAAAATAACCAGATTCAACTTGTTGATAAATCGCAATAGGTTGCAGTTCCTATGAAATCGCTTTATTTGGTATTTTGGTTCAAGTAATCGATGATTTTTCAGGAGTCACGCGAGCTTTGATGGAACGAGTGAAAATAGTGGACTATCCACCAGTATTCCTGTACGACACACCAGGTATCCTTCCTCCCTCCATCACAAATGTAGAGACAGGTCTCAGACTAGCTCTCTACGACTACGTAAAACCATCAGTCGAACCAGAAGTGATTGCAGACTACTTACTGTACGAGTTGAACAAACACCAAGTGTTTAATTATGTTTCCTTTTATGGTCTACTGCAACCAACAGATGAAATAAGCATTGTTTTGAATAAAATAGCGGAAGATGGAAACATGAAGATGACGAGAAGAAACCACGTGACTGGAAACGAGGTACTTAATGATTGGTGCGGAGCTTCACTAAGATTTTTGACTCAGTTCAGGCGCGGGCTTTTGGGCAATATTCCTTTTAATGATATAAAAGGTGAAATGCCTGTTTCTGAAGACAAAGTTTATGAGGCGGAACAGTCTTATGCGCCGGAAAATAATTCACTGCAAAGTCCAACTGAACATTTGGAAAGCGACTCGTCAAACGAGCAGAAAGTAGAAAGAAGGCTAATTGGAAACATTTCACATTTAATTAGCTCATCAGTTTAGTTTTTAGTCTAATGTTTTTTTTTATGAAATGAAAGTAAGTTCGTTTAAATTTCGAGAACAAATCGGGAACTTTTTTTTCCATTAATTGATTTCTGTTATAGCCAAGAAGTCAATTGTTTTGAATCTTTTAGTCATTGAAGTCCGTGTTTCACTTGCCAGAGGAAATTTTCTTGTAATCGGGACTTTATCCATCAACAAACTGCTAGGTACGTTCTCACTTGCTTTAGAGGTAAAGCCTATGCCTTTGGAACATGTGATCTGTTTTTCTTCGATATGCGTGGAAATTGAATTTTTTTTTTGGAAAACCTGAGTTTTTTTTCTTTAAAGCATCATTTTTGTTGTGATTTATGAAGTTTTCACTGTAATTGATAATCGTGCCGTAATTTTAAAGTCCACTACCTCTGATTTCGTTTGATGACCTGTCAATTTTTTTGTTCCGACCATTAAAAATGGGGAGGAACTTTGTATTCGGGTGTGTTTTTTTTGTTTTCGACGCAAAATCAGCTGCAAAAAAAATCATCGGAGAAAGTTGAGTGGTATATCATATTGAAGCCTTTTCAGTCGTGATTCGAAAAAATTTTCATAAAACTCTCCCAGTGTTGAGAAAAATGGTTTAAAATGTTTTGTTTTTTGTTCAATTTCGAGCGAAAAACGCGATCGAGTTGCGTTCATTATATGGAAATTATCTATCTTTTTTTTATAATATTAGGTTCACAAAACTTGATTTTCTATCAAAAAACTAGGTTTGGATGTTTCTTTCAGCGCTTATGGGACAAAAATTAACGATTGTACAAAAATAAACATTTTTTTATAGTTTATTTATTAGTTTAGGAAGCTTTTTTGAAATTTTTGACTTGTGTGGGCATTTTTATCTATTGTAATAATTAATGGCTGCCTCTATTAACTTTTCATAAATCACGATTCTTTTCGATAAAAATCATGTGAAAAATATATGATTGCCAGCTTTACCGCGTAAAAGTTTTCCGATTTTCCTTTTTGTCGCATATGTTTCCTTCGCTTTGTGTAAAATTGTCTAGTGAGCTTAAGTGTTAGGATTAGAGTTAATCGTAAGTGCTCGAAATGGCTACATCTAACTTATCTTGTAGTATATCTTGTAATATTCTCGCATATATTTTTGTATCGCATCTGTGTGTTCAATTTGAGGAAAACATATCGAGATGAATTTTTTGAAAAGCCTGTCTCTTGACTTGGTTGCTTCCGTATCATTTTTTCTGCTAGCTTACATTGTTTTGTTTGTGTATTTTCACAAGTGGTGTGAAGCTCCGCTGGGCTTGTGCCTAAAAGAATCAGTAATTCTTTCCACATGCGAAAAGCAAGTGACTTTCAATTGGGAACTAGAACTTTTTCCCCATATTCTCCTACAAAATATCCGCTCTGAGCTCATGAAAATGTTTGATGCAGTTACTGGAGTTATTTTCGCCTCCACATGCACGCTGAAATTAATAATATCTTAAAAATTCAAATAAAAGATAAATTCTAATAAAAGTACTTCATAGTTTGTTTCAGTTAGTAAATAATTTTAACAATTTTAAATACTGAAAAAAATTTCGGGGGATTTGTGGTTTTTTTCTTAATTTCAGTCGGCAGATTTTTAATTTTTTCCAAATGCAACTTGATTTATCTTGTAGGCTTTTCAGGCATTTTTTCCAAAGCGTGGGTTATTTTATTTTTGATTCAAATAGTCTTAACTATAATTGAAAGTTGGTCTGAACTTTGTAAATTTACCAACTCTGATTTTGAATTTTTTTTTCGGTTAAACGGTGCCACTTATGTTATGTCGTCTTAGTCAACCTATATTGGGTAGTTTTAAGGTTGATTTTTTAAATGACCTCGCGTGTTTCATGAGGGATGGGTCTTGAGTTTTAAGTTTTTAATTTCTAAAGCTTGAAATGTTTTCTTACAGTTTCTTTTTCAATTTTTTGATATTTTTTCAACTTGAGTAGACAAAGTCTGTTTGATTTTTGAAAATCACTTCTGCGACCGTGTTTGAAGAATGTTTCGAATTTTTTGGTACTGTTTCATAAAACTTTGGTGGGGTTTTTGTCTCGGTGCTTCCTGAGTGAGCGGCCTGCTATTCTTATCACAGTCTTTTTGGCAAAGATATTTGAAGTCATGAGTTCATTCGCAATTTCCTTGGTATAATTTTTGGTCCGTTTTTTATTCGATTGGCTTTTATTTTGCTTGAAGTGCTTTTTGACCTAAATGCTTTTGTAGAACGATAACTTCGCTAAATGAAAGACTTGCTTTTAAGAGGCCTTACGCGCTATCAGATCCCAATCTTTCTTAAATTTCTTTTCTCATATTTTGCTCGTGAATTTCAGAATTTTTTTTACTTCAAAATAACAATTTTAATTTATGTTTGCTATTTCTTTCTGGTACATTCAATGTTAACCGCTCGTTCTGCTTAGTGTTTTATATTTCATTTTCAAATATAGGCAGATTTTTCACCAGTCTCATCTCCTGAACTCATCATACTCTTGATCTTTCTGTTGCAACAGAAATATTTTGAGCATGTTAGCCTTTTATGGCCTTAAATATCTGACCTAATTGAAACTTATTTTCTATATTAGTTGTAATTATTCCGACTGAATTTAATTTTTTTTGTCTTTTTTGACTTAATAGGTTTCGGCTCGTTTCATGTCGGCTTATCAGCCTTTTTTTGCGTCGTTTGGTAAGTGAAATAGTTTTGTTTGCCTCTGTGTTATGGGACGTAAAATTTTTAAATTAGATTTGAATTCAAAGTTTCCTTTATTTTTTTCGGTTTCTTGTTCTTTTAGACTTTTCTAATGTTGTGTTGACTTTTTTGTTGAGTTTTTGGCTTGGCTTTCATTTCCATCCGAGTTTGCAGTGCTGTTTTTACATGGTATCGAGAAAGGCGCAAAGATCGGATTTGCCTCTGTGTAAAAGTTGTTCTCGCTTAGATTTGATTTTTCTCAGTTTGATTTTTGATTTTTTTTTCAAGTTCAGATCATTTGTTTGTTACAAGGAAGGCATACTCCACTAAAATGATTTCAAAGGTTGTTCTAGAATATTTTTCGAAACAAAGGTGTGAAATTTTTCAAAAAAAAAAACGTTCCTTATTTTGCTTTGCGATGTTTTGTTGCATCGCATGTGTTGCGAAGCTCAGCTTCGCCTCTGCGTTAATTTTTTTTTCAAAAACTTCGGCCACAACATACATTCTGCAAAATTAAAATTATTTGGCTCATTATTCGCTAAACCAACTTAAGGATTTCAAACAAAAATTTTTGTTATTCTGAACTGCAAAAATTGAATTAGATTTTTGGTGCAGAGATGGTTCACTTGGTATATTTGGGGAGGAAGGAGACCGTTTATCAGTGTCATTTTTGCTCTTTAGTTATTTTTACCTCGTAGCAAAGTCCATCATTCTGGGTCAACTTTGCCTTGTGACAGCAGCTTTGTGCCCTAAATGAAAATAATGATTATCACGTGTAACTTAAGTTAACGTAATTTATTATTGGTGAAAGAGCTACTCAAATGACAGATTCCAAAGAAAATGTTTAATGAAGCTTATTACTTACGATTGTCTGGATTTTTGATTCTTAGGTTTTTTTTTTCAGATATTTTGGTACCTACAAAAGTTTGATTGGTTAATATAATTTTCTGTTTGATCCTTCTGTCATAAAGGATTTCCTCATTGTTGCAGCTTAGTTGTGTTCTTATCCGTGCAACTTGTGACGCTTTCTTTTCAAATGCAAGTGTGTGGAAAATATTGTACAATATGTGCAGACTCTACAAATAGGAGGCAACATGACGTTACTAACACCACTAAAATTGCGTTTCCTTTTTCTAATATGTTAGAATGCGTTTAAGCTCCAATAAAAAATTAAATGGAAAATATCTTCGAGGTTTCAGTTGAAAGAAAAACTGCAATTTGCTTTACAATAAAATTAAGATTGCATAAATGCACCTTCATAAATTATTGCTAAATCAGGAATGTATTTATGCCAAACAATTCTTTCGAGAGCTTCAATTTAATGTAACTTTTTAGAGAGATTTTGCTAATTGATAATTCTGATCGAATGAAAAACCGTAATGGTTCGTTTTATTTGAATCGCATAAATTATTGTATTTCAATGACATCTTATAAAAAAAATCCAAAATAACGTTGCATTATTGTTTTTATTTCAACGTTGAAAACACTTGAAGACATCATTGAGACGTTGAAAACACTTCGCAGGTGTAATTTGAAATTGATTTGCTGAGTTAAGGTTCCTTTGATAGAGAAGGCATTGCTTGGGGTATTTTTATTCAGGAGGTTCATTACGTGAATTCTTCTCCTGTGAAGGTGTTGGAAATTTCTTACTGAAAATCCCATTTTTTGAAGTGAATTTTACCCCAGCAAGTTGTCTCGGCCATTTCCTCTATTTAAGCAAGATTCTTTTTTCTTTCTTCGGCAGCTTTCAGAACCGTTATTATAATTAAAAACTTCCGTTTTTGTTCTGATACTCCTATTTTCATATTTATAGCCGGTCTATAACGTATTCCTATATTGCATCCAGTTGATCCGTTTTTCTAATTTAAAAGGAACTGGTGGTTCAATCATTAAACCAATATTTTCCTGATAATTTAACTTTATTGATTTATGAAAGAACGCCGTCAAATGACTCTTTTAGATGACTTTGAGCGCTCAACCACATCTTGCCTGTGGCTATGTTGTTAATACATATCATAAAGCAGAGTCACTAGAAATCTATGGCTGAAACAGCTGACTTAGAAAACTCTTTCCCAGGCATCGCAAATGAACAAATTCTACCACCGAGTTCGCAGAATGTGACTGAAATTGGTATTACAGTGGACTCAGCGCCTCCAGCCGGAACCCTGTCAACAGGTAGGAAACCATTCTCATAATTTTATAATTATTACTTCTTTTATTCATTCATTCCTCTCAGTTTTTGCTTGATCTGAATTGCTAGGCCTTTCAAAAGTTGTGAGCACAAAATTTAAGTTGCAATTAATTGATGAGACAAAAATTAATTAACTGTAGTGAGTGACTTTCAGTCATCGTTGACGATGACGTCCACGGTCGACTCGTTCCAAGATCTTTGGTTGATTTTCAAGAACAGCTGGATTTCAAGATTCATTGGAAGCAGGCTCTTTCGATGATCGTTGTACGCAACTCCTGCTACGTAGTCACTCCTAATGATCTTATTTCGAGTTCACGGATTTTCAGTAGCTCGGAAGCGAAGTCATTATCTTGGGTTGCTGTATCATATTTCTCCGGTCTAGAAATTATCAGTTTCAAGCCTTCGATAGCAGTTTTCTCATCTGCTGTTAGACTTTCTAGAAGTTTGATAACGGCACTTTCAAAGGATGACATATTGACAACATTGCTGACAATGGCAATACGTTTTGGGTGATTAAGATTCCAATTTCAAATCGTATTTTGTTGTTGCTTTTAATGATTTCTTTTGATTTTTGAGTTTTGAGTCTTTCAATTTACTAATTTGGCGGCATATTCATGTCGAAAATGTGGCAAAATTAGGTTCGGCAAAGAATAAAGTTCAAATGTCGTAGACATAGCCGGGCCCATTTGCAGGTTGCAAATTAGAAAATTGTTCGTTGAAGCTGATGGTACGTCGTTGTTGATTGTAATGGTCATCTAGTTGTTAGCTGTCGTTGATCATGTTGGTCATCTAGTTGTTACTGTGGTCCAATACTCGCGAGAGTTTGACTGCTGGTCGGTGTAGAATCCCCCTGCTAGTTTTAATTTCGCAGGAGCGAACGATTCCGTCTGCACCTGGGAAAGTGCGAAGTACCCGTCCCAGGGGCCAAAGACCTCGAGGCGTTAGGTCTTCCAGTATCCATACAAGGTCTCCTTGATGAAGATTTTCCACTTGCTTTGTCCATTTCGTTCGGGTCGTCAAGGTTGGCAAGTAGTCTTTGAGGTATCTGTTCCAGAACTGTTGACTCAAGGCTTGAGCTTGTTTCCAAGTTTTCTTGTCCGTTGTGTGGCGAGGGAGAAACAATCCGGGAGGCAAATTGTTTGTTGGTCGTCCTAGTAGAAGGTGATTGGGTGTAAGGGGCTCGTCGTCGGTTGGGTCTGATGAGACGTGGGTTAGCGGGCGAGAATTCATCATAGCTTCAACCTCGCACGTGAAGGTTGACAGAGTTTCGTCGTCCAGTGTCCGTGTTCCAATGACTTTGTAGAAGGCAATCTTAAATGTTTTTATGAGGCGTTCCCATGATCCACCAAAGTGAGGAGCTGCAGGTGGGTTGAACTTCCAGGTTATTCCAAGTAATTGGCATTGATTGTTGAAGTCGTTGCTGTGTTGAATCTCAGAAAGGCTTTCCTGTAATTCCTTGTCAGCTGCAACGAAGGCTTTTCCGTTGTCAGAGAAGATGATCCTGGGTTTACCGCGTCTAGCGATGAAACGGCGTATGGCTTGTAGAGTTGAGTTTGTGTCGATTGGCTGGCATATTTCTGAATGAACTGCTCGCGTGACGAGGCAGGTGAAGAAGAGAACGTATCGCTTACTGTACTCGTCGTTGTTCCGCGTGGCAAAGGGTCCAAAGAAGTCAATTCCTGTTGAGTAGAAGGGGTAACTGTTTTCCGATAAAGGGAGTCGTTGTAGGGGTAGATCTGCCATCAGAGGCTTCACTGGTTCCTGTCGAAGGCGTCGGCAAGGTATGCATTGTCGAATAGTTTTCTTCAGATGCTTGCGTGATCTTATGATCCAAAAGTCCTGCTGAAGAAGGCTTCAGGTGTGTTCCATTCCACAATGGGAATTTATTACGTGTGTTTGCTTCATGAAGAGTTGTATTGGGTAGTTTTATGCGTTCAGAATGACTGGATGTCGGCTGCAAAGTAGAAGCGGGGCTTTCTGTAGTCGTCCTTTGGCACGTAAGTATCCGTGATCGTCGATGAAGGTGCAAATAGGTTGTAGAGGGCTGCGGGGTGGAATGTCAGATTTCTTTGTCAGGCATGCTAGTTCCTTGGGGAATGATTGATTCTGTAAGTGTTTAATGATCCATGCGAATCCTAAGGTCAGGTGATGAAGTGAGAGGCTCTGGCGTGTCTTCCTTTTGATGTTTTCGGGGAAGAGAAGAACATATGAAGTAACTCTGAGTGCTCTTGTCCAAGTGCTAAATCGGTTGAAGTCGATTACTGATGTTGGCGGTTGTGGGTCGTTGTCTGTCAGATGAATATCGGCTGTAGGTTGTGTTGGCGGGTGATTAGGCCAATCTGATGATGGTCTTAACAAGAAGTCTGGTCCTTTGATCCATCGTGAATCGGTAGTCATGTCACATGCTTTGTAACCACGTGTTCCGTCGTCTGCAGGTTTGTCTTTGCTGGGCACGTATCTCCAGTCCAGTGAAGATGTTGAGTCCATGATGAAATTCAGGCGGTTGGCGGTGAAGATCCGGTGTCGTTGATTCGGCGAGTTTATCCAATGAAGAACTGTTGTACTATCTGTCCATAGTGTCGTACTGTCGATTCGTATGTCATGTTGTTCTTTGATGAAACGAGACAGTTAAGCTCCGTTAGTGGCGGCTTGAAGCTCGAGATTTGGAATTGTCATTCTGCTGATGGGTGCTACTCGAGCTTTTCCAATGACGAACTTGAGTTCCGTTGTGTCGTCGTCGTATCTGATTCTGAGGTAAGCAACTGATGCTAAGGCAAGTTCGGAGTTGTCGCTGAATACATGGAGTTGGGTTTCCAGTATCTTCGTTTCTGGTTTGAAGTAAATCCGGGGCAGGCAGATGTCGTTGATTTGGCTTCGCTTGTCTATCCAATCGTTGAGGTCTGTTAAATGCTCCATGTTTAGAGGTTTGTCCCATTGAGGTCCATTACTCCAGGCAAGTTGAAGTGATTGTCGTAGTCGAATTGTCAGTGGCATCGTAATTCCAAGCGGGTCAAAGATTGAAGAAGCAAACTTCAATAGTTTGCGCTGCGTTAAGTCCTTCTTGTCAATGGCGTGAAACTTCTTTGCTTCCACAAGAAAGACGTCCGTGTCTGGTTTCCATTTCACTCCAAGAACTCTTTCGAGGGGTCGTTCCTTCTTGGTGAGGCTGTCGCTGTTTTCCAAGTGGTTCTCGTTGACTGTTGCGAGGAATTGTTGAGAGTTTGAGGTCCATTTTGTGAGGTTGAAACCTCCAATGCTGAACATCTTTTGAAGGTCGTTCATTAACTGTGTCGCTTCCGTCGGTGTTGAAACAGCTTTGTATAGGTCGTCCATGTATATGTTGCGTTTTTTTATTTGACCCAAGGCTGGATACTTGTCGGCATTGTCCTTCGCACATTGTCGAGTGGCGTAGCAGGCAACACATGGTGAGTCGGTAGCTCCGAAGATGTGGCGGGTGTATTGAAAGGTTGCGGGTTGGCCCGTGTTGTCCTTCCACAGAAATCGCAAATACGGCTGGTCCTCTGGGCTCTTGAAGACCTGCATGAACATTGCTTCAATGTCGGCAGAAATAGTGATTTGGTCCTCGTGAAATCGCATAACGATTCCAGTAAGGTTTGTGAGGAGGTCTGGTCCAGTTAGTAGGTTGCTGTTGAGTGATACTCCTTTGTAGATGCTCGATGCATTAAGGACTCGGCGTACCTTGCCAGGTTTATTGATGTTTGTCACTGGATGATGAGGAAGGTACCATTTTCCTGTTGAGTCTTCATGGGAATCATCAACTTTGACTATGAAACCTTTCTGCAAGTCGGTGTCGATGGTCTCCTGATATTTCTGTGCCATCTCGGTGTTTCTCTTCAGTCGTTGGAGAAGGCTGTCGAGCTGCTTCCTGGCAAGCCATCTATTGTTTGGCAGTTGTTGTCCACGTTTCCAAAGCATTCCAACTTCGTAGTGTCCATTGGGCAAGCGGGTTGTTGAAGATTCCAAGATGCGGAGAGCTTCCTTGTCTGTTGAGAGGCTGCGTTGGTCAGTTGAAATCCCTTCGGCGTCCAATTCCATCCATTCAGCTACGTGGCGAAACAGTGTATCGTCTGTCGTGAAGTTGATTGTGTTGATGTCGTCGTTGGGTGTCGCTGCATTGTCTCGTCCACAGAGAGACCATCCAAGTGGCGTTTTCCATCCAATAGGCACATTTTGTTTTGAATGGATTACTTCCGAAGGTGTCACGAGTTCGGCGAAATCGCATCCAATGATGATTCCGATTTGTTTCGAGGGCAGTGTGGCTATCCGAATGTGTTGAAGTGGCTCGTTCCTTTGGCAGATGGAGTTGACGAGTTCAGGGTTGAATTGGGAAAGGTTCCAATCCATTATGACGTCGATGTCATTTAGTTGAAATGGCTGCTTTTGCTGGTTGTAGGGTCCAATCGCGATCGTCATCTTTGTAGAAGCTGTATCTGATGATGTCAGTGCTTGGTTTAGCTGGATGGTGTCGTCTAATTGCAGATCTGGTTTGAGTTGGAGGGCGATTGATGATTTAAGCAATGTCAGTTTGCTTCCACAATCAAGCATTGCATAGGCATGAACTCTGTTTGCCATGAGAGATCGTTATTGGCAGGGTCAGAATGTGGCGAGTCGATTTCTTTCTGCTTATGCTGGTGCTGCAGTTGGTGGTGTCGTCATGTTGTCTGGAGTTCCGGTTGGCTGTCTCCCTCTGTGTCGTCGAGTTGTAGGTGCTGCTGTTGTGCAGAAGTGTGTGGTGTTTCTTACTGCATCCGTCCGTCCGGCAGGTTTGCGTTGATTGACAGTCTGCGAACTTGTGGGGGCTGAGGCAGTTGAAACTTAGTTGTAGGTCCCTGGCATGCTGTAATCTGTCCTTTGGGTTCATTGCGATGAAGTGTTGGCATTTTCCAAGGTACTGGCAATTGCGTTTCTCCGGGCAAAAATCTCGTCGTTGATCCTTTTGTCCAGATTTATGTTGCTGCTGGCTGCGTTGCCGTTTCCGGTTGTTCTGATTGGCGCGGTGATCCGATGGTCCATGTTGGTGGGTGTGACCGTTGGATGATGATCCTTCAGTGTTGCTGCTGTTGTAGTTGTTGCTGCTGCTGCTGTTTCTGGTGTTGTTGTTGTTGCTGTTGCTCGGCAAATCGCTGCATGCTTCGGCGTAGATGTTGAACCAATTGGTGAGGTCGATGAGTGATGATTGTCTGATGTTGCATTGCAGATTGTATCTATTCCATTCTAGTCGGCAAGGGGTAGGCAGTTTTGACAAAACTGTTTGGACATTTGTCGTAGAGTGTAGATCGTGCTGGAATCCAAGTGTCGTGAATGTATCGACCATTGTCTGTAGGAAGTTGGCGAGGTCCTTGTAGCTTCTGGTATGTAGATTGGGGCCGCTGATGGCGTCGAGTCGTCGAAGGAAGGATGTAACTATCTTCGTCGGGTTACCAAAGTCGTTTTCCAGTCGCTGAAGGGCTGCGTCATACATTGCTCCATTGCATCCATATCCTCGGATGAGAGATTTGGCATCTCCGGATACAAGTTTCTGCAGATGTGTAATCTTTTCCGAGTTTGTCATGTCGGTGCTGTTGATGGTTGCGTTGAACAGTCCTATCCAATCTAACCATTGTTCAGGTTCTCCGTCGAATATGAATGGTTTGACAATGGGCACAGATTTTCTGAATGTCTTCGAGATCGTTTGATGATGGTTGTGGTCTGTCGGTGCTGTTCCAAGGTTGGTCTGAATCGGAAAATAAGTCGGCTGGTTCTGATGTGCTGCATGTGGATGTGCTGCATGTTGATGTGCTGCATGTTGATAGACTGCATGTTGATGAGGGGGAGGTCGGTTGATATTTGGGTGAGTTGTTCCTGTTGGTCCCCTGCAGCCTGCATGAGTGAAGGCTGTTGTTGATGATGTCGGCATGTTCGTAGGGTTGTATGCTGTCGTGGTTCCCAGAAATCCTTCCTGGTACGATCGCATGGCAGGTTGTTTACATTGGTGAGTCAGGGTCGGCTGGCTGGAGTTCCAATTTGTTGCTGTTCGTTGATCTCCTTGGTTTGTTGGCAGTAGTGCTGGTTGTGCTGGTATCGGTACTCCGTTGATGTTTGTGATACCCTTAGCTGTCGTCTGGTGTCCACTGAACACGTTGGTGGGGGGATGATTGGTTGAATTCTGATTTCCAATCGTCAAGATGGGTCTAAAGGCGCTATTCGGATTATGTGTCCTCTGTTGCTGACTTGGAGGCTGGTTCTGTTGTAGGCTTGAAGGCTGGTATAGTATATGTGGGGGGCTAGCTGTCTGGGGAGCAAGAAATGGGTGTGTGATTTGCTGTCCAATCATTTGACTCTGAGCTGCTTTTGAAGTTGCTGTCGGAAGAAATATTGGCGCTGAAACATTTCTTTGTTGGGTTGCTGGTGCGTTCATCTGCTGATTGAAAACTTGGATTTGAGTTCCAGGGTTGACGTTTCATGAAGTTGAGCTTCTGAGTTCGGTCTTTGTCCCACTGTTGCTGTCAATTGCTGATTGTCGATTTGGAGTTGAGTTCCATTGTTCAATTCTATAGTCGTTCCTTGAAGTTGAGCTTCTGGGTGGTTCGGCTGAAGGTTTGAACTTTGTGACAAGTCGGCGTTCGGCTGCTGCAATGAGAGGTTTGACTGAGGATGGAGGTGAGTTCCATGGGCAGTTTGAGTTCCAAGAGTTTCTGTTTGTTGTTGATGAATGCGATGATCCAAGGTATTGGCGTCGCTGTTAGATCCGGGGCGAAGTAGGAGTCCTGAATTGTCCTGGGCGGAGTTTGATCTGTGGTTTGAAGTAGCGTTTAAGATTGCTGGCAATCCTGAAAATTGTGGCAAATCGTCCGGGGTGTCCTGGTCCATGGTGACGTTTTGTGTAGTGGTACTACGGGTTAAACTTTCCGTTTGGCGTCGAAGGGGAAGATTTTTCAAGGCTTGTCGTATTATTGAAGGCGTCGAGACGTTGCTGGCTACTCGTGATGAGTTTAAAGAAGACGTGGCAGTGTTGTTGAGGGTACGCTCGTATCGTTTTGATCGTAGTTGGATCGTTCGGTACAAAACTTTCAAAGTTTTCAATCGTTCAATGATTGAGTCTTGCTGGTCCGTTCCGGTGCGTATTATCTTGACTGCTTCGTTATTGGCATCGTCAAGCAAGCTCTTCAATTCCGTTAAGAAATCGTTTATGATCTGTACTTCGTCGGAATCGCTTATGGCTTGGTTAATAATTTTTGCTAAAATTTCTACGTCTGTCTCTATGACTTTAAAAACAGCATCATAGATTGAATTCATTTTTAATTGACTTTGTCTCCTAAACTTAATTCACGTTTTGACGTGTCAGACAAAAATGTAAAATGGCCAAAATGTAATTCCTTGGATTACATGGAACCCTCGTAATTGTATTGTAACAAAAAAAATGATTTTGAGTTTTTTTTTTCTTTGGAACTTGCAATCCAAAAAAAAAATAATCAATATGATTGGTTAGTATAAGGATGGGTTCGTTGATTTTTCAAACAAAAAAAACCTTGGTTTCGGTTTCTTTGTTTTAAAAACTATTGTGCGCCAATGACAATGGCAATACGTTTTGGGTGATTAAGATTCCAATTTCAAATCGTAGTTTTGTTGTTGCTTTTAATGATTTCTTTTGATTTTTGAGTCTTTCAATTTACTAATTTGGCGGCATATTCATGTCGAAAATGTGGCAAAATTAGGTTCGGCAAAGAATAAAGTTCAAATGTCGTAGACAATTGCCATCGATTGACAAATACTGCTTCAATTCTTCTTTCATATAAAACTTCAGATTTTCCACAAAAAGAGCTCGCGCATCAGATAAATCTATGCTTTCACGCTAAATAGCTTTAGTTACGGAAACAAGTATCGGTTAAGTGTGGTTAAATTCTTGTAGCTCTCTGTTTTTCTTAGCAGTAGGGATATAATCAGCCAACTTGGAAGAAGTTTTTTCTAAGCTTCTTCATTTACATGATCGTCAAATGTACATGATCGTTTAAGCATATCCTGTTACTTTCTTCTGAGTAAGCTTCTTACCGCATTTGCGTTTCCATTCGTTTTCTGCATAAGTAAAATACTTTCATAATTTTTGTTCATTTGTCCGAGGCATTTCCACCTCAAAAAACCAGGCATTAATCACATATTTTTACATAGGTTTGCTAAGCAGCCAATTGATTGCAATTAACTGTTTTCGCTTACATTATAATTGAATTAATTGGAGGTTTTCCAATTGAGTTTAAAAATCAAATAAATGCAATTAATTGTTCATCAATTATTTTTGAAAGGCCTTGGTTTGTGATACATCTGCTTTTGATTTGCCAATATATCATTCTTAGCTATTCTTTGTATGTTAACACTAGCCAGCTTGAAAGCGTAGTGGATTAATACGAACTTTCTTTTTTCCAACCTAACTCGCAAATAAAAGTGTTCACTTATTGAAGGGCAATTTTGCTATAATCACGATCTGTAGCATTGGATATTTCATAGCATCTCTTCTCTTATCCGCTTTATTTATTGCTGGTGTTCGGGAACAATTAAGCGTCTGTGACTGAGTGGTTCTTGCGTTAGACTGAAAATCTCTAGGTCGCAGATTGAATCCGAGACTTGGCCGATTTTTACTGATTCGAGGCTTATTTTTTCTTTTCTCACTTTATAGAGCTGCTTTTTTTGTCGTGTTCTCGCTTGAGTTTGCGAAGCACAGCTTCGCCTCTGTGTTGATTTAACTGTTTTGAAAGTTACTTGAAACTGAATAAAAAGCTTCAGTAGAAAAGAAGCCTTATTTCGAAGCGCTTCAATTGTTATTATGGCATGCTAATACACCATAATATTTCTCAGGTTTTACATCAGGCGTCTATTCTCTGACCACTACAAGTGGATCCCTATCTCCTAGGTCACAAGGGTCCAGCTATCCGCAGACGCCGCCAAACAGCTATACTGTAGACAGCTCATTCGCCAAGTTCACAGCACTCCCAGCCTCCGCTCTGACCCTCGACACTCAGGAACTCCTATCCAAACTCGACGAAAATTTGACTTCGAGTGGCGATGATAAAGATGGAAGGGCATCCGACAGAATCGCAGATGGTAGTCTGGGAACTGGTGAAGCGGAGGGTCATTGTCGTGAGGTTGCAGAAGTTGAAGAAGATGCAGATCCGGGACGTTTGGGTTTCAATAGAGTAGATCTTCCTGGGACTGAAGAGGCGTTTGAACAATTTAGAAAACAAAACGAAGAGTTCCTGAAACATATGGACTCAATTGCAGACACAGAAGAAGAGCCGAAAACCTCCAATGAACCCCCAAAGGAAAGCGAAAAGGCACCACAGCCAGCGGTGAATGTAGATGATTACCTATTCGATTTGCACAATGAAAATGTTGTCGCTTCAAATATATGCCAAGAAATGATAGCAGACGGCATCGACTCTTCAAGGTACCAGTCATATATCTCAGAGTTGCCGAATTCACGCGAAGAGTATCAGCGTATGGTTTCAAAGTTTGTAAAACATCAGTCATTTCATACTAAAAGGTTAAATCATTTGCGGAATGTCCCTAACGATTCTTCTGTTTACGGAGCCCAAGAGTGCATTACTGATCCTCTCACTTCAGCTATGATATCAGGTAGTTTAGCCAGTAATTCAACTAATTCCACTAAACCTAAAATAGAGTCTTCATCTCGTAGCCAGAAAAGACAAATTGTGGATTTCGAAATAGCGATATTTATGCCAGCTGATATAGATTACCGCGAGCCAATTTTAGCGGTGCAGAGGGAGTGTCAAGAAAGAAATAGATACCTTAAAATGGTGCAAGCAACGCCAAAGGTGAGCCAACCTAAAACTCGGCTCATTCCTTCTGAAAGCGAACAAAATTTTAAATTATTCGACGAATGGCAAGATGATGAGATCTCAGACATGGCCAGAAATACTTCAGTGCTATTCAGTGAATCCGAAGATCTGGATGAAGATGAAATGAAAGAGACGCTGGAAGAGCAGAAGAGGCGATTAGAAGAAGAGTATGGGATAGATTTAGAGGACGCAAATTTGGCATCTGACGGAAGTGTCCAAACTCCTGGCGTCAATAGTACCTATGAGTTTGAATGGGATGACCAGGAATTAGGAGGTGGGTTCGGGGCAAATCAACTGGGAAACAACCCCAATGATCAAACATTGGATAATGATGAGATGTTTGACGAGAAATTGGTCGATGCGTCTATGAATATCCAGGCTACACGAAGGTGGCGTGTAACCTTCATTAACGGTGTCGAGAAGCGAATTGATATGAAAATTCTGGATCCTTTCAAGAAGGTTTTATCGCATGGTGGGTTTACACCAACTGGTCAAACGATTCTGGTTTTCTCAGCTTGTTTTATGCCGGAAAAGAAACGACCAGACTATAAATATATAATGGATAACCTGTTTCTGTACGTTATTAGCTCAATTCAAATTTTGATTACGGGAGAGTATGTATTGGTTTATCTGCACGGTGGGGCTGACGATTCAGTGACGCCCAGTTTGAACTGGCTCAAGAAATGCTTCACTCATATCGACCACCGGGTGCGCAAGCAGCTTCAAGCACTGTACCTCGTCCATCCCGACTTCTGGGTCAAAACCGGCATGAAGCTGGCCAAGGTAGTTTATAACAGCTACTCATTTGGATATTAGTTCCTATAATTTAATGATCAAATCTAATTCTGAGCAAAGTTTCATCAAATAAAAAGACCTTTTATGAAGTGCTTAGTTCTAGTTAGTGGCGCAGGCTGGCTCTGTCAAAAAGGCTCCACGGCTACAATCCGCCAACAAGTTTTGAACCCCCCATAACCATTGAACTCATGGCGCTTGTCTCAGATTTTGGTGTCTGAGCTGAAGATGGTATGAAAAAAAGTCAAAAATGGACAATTCATTAGTCGAAGTTTGTTCGAATGAAAAAAGCTCCCCAATTGGCGGAGTTCAGTGTACAAATGTTATCATCAGAACTGTAAAAAGTTAGTGAACATACAAAATTATCGCGCCTGCAAGTAGCAAGCGTTATCAAATTGAAACATTTTGCTCGAGACAAGAGTTGTCGGCCGATTGCTTGTCTGCTTTTTTTTTCGGCTTATTTGCCACAGCACTGAATTTTATTGTGATTTAAACAATTTTCACCATAATTACCTTTGCGGTAAGCAAGGGTATTGTAATCGGGTACTAGACCTTTTTTTCCTGTAAATAACTGTGTTATACGTATGGTTAGTTAATAGCATGGTTAGTGTGTTGGCCTTGTGTTTACGTTGAGAGTTAACTATTAAAATTTTATCAGATTCGAAAATTTGGTAGATTTTCGGCTCAGGTCTTTCAGCTTTAATTCTGTCGGCTTAATTGCCTAATGTTATTAACCTATAACTAATGTTGTTTTTCTAACAATGGATCTCTAACAAGAAATTTTTCAAAAATCTAAATCACCCTCTTAAGCTTTCCGTTGTACAATTAGAAAATTAAACCTGAAAAAAAATTGTCAATTTTTTAATGAAAAAAGTGAAAATTTTTAGAATCAATTTTTGGCTTTTTAGTTCGTTTATTATAATAATTCAATTTCAAAGAATTATCCAGTGCATCTGGCGTAAAGATAAAATCTGGTTTTTGTGAAAGCTCTCAGTGGAAGTAATTCATTTATAAATTTTTACGAGTCTCATTGCATTTTTTGAAAAACTTTACATATAAAGTTTTTTCCAAAACTTCTCGAAAAAGTTTGCTTTGTCGGGTAATGAGAACGGAATTTATACGCATGCGATTTGTTTTCTTGCAATTAGCATTTTTTGGTTCGATGCCGCTGTGAATTTTTTGTTCCGATGCAAGTTTACCGTTCTGTGGTCTTTTTTGTCATGTTATTTTTGTTAAAAATTGTTTCGATTTCAGACAAATTGATTCAAAGATATGAAAGTAATGTTAGATTAAGCTTTTCTCGACACTATCACGTTTTTTTTTCACCTCAGGAAAGACTTGTAATTTAGCGGCGTTGATCCCATTTTCTGTCTGCTAGTTTGTTATGCTTTATTAGTGTTGTATTCCAAGTTTTCTGCTTTACGGTTGTTGACTTAAAATCTGTCGATTTGGTTCACGAATTGGGTCTTACATTCACTACATATAAAGCACTGGTGAACACTTTATAAGCAGAAAGTTTTGATTGTTTTTCAGCTTTTTGACTGTTGGTTGTAATGTGGTCGGCTTTTCTACCTAATATTTTGTTTCCTACAAATTTTCGGTTTTGTTTTAAATATCGATAAGACTATGGCTCCATATTTTGGAATGTTTAATGTCAACCTCACAAGGTCCTCTTAAAAAACTCAAAGAATTTTAATCATGACAAGTTTTGTTTTTCTTGTTCCTTTTTCAATTGTTTCTTTGCTCGAAGTTTTGTTTGCCACTTCTTGAGCGTCATGCTGTTTTATTCTTATATTTGTTGTATCGCAAGTGGTGCGAAGCGCAGCTTCGCCTTTATCTTAAGCTTGCAATTAAAAAGCACAAATTGCAACAAACATTTTTTCAGATTAACAATTTTTGTTACAGAATACCCTTCGAGTTGTTTGAGTTTATTGTTTGAAACCAATTATTGAGTGGCGTCATAATTGGTTTGCGTCACTTAGTAATTATGTAGATTCGCGTGCGTCACCTAAGAAATTTTGTAGACTCAAAGTTTTACTCATTCAGTTTTTCCCAGTAGCGTTGTCGGTCATATTTTTGCTTGTGTATGCGAAGTGCAACTTCGCCTCTGTGTTAAAAGTTATTGAAGTCTTGCCGTTTCAGGTGTTCACAAGTAATAAATTCGAGAAGAAACTCAAGTTCGTATCCTGTTTGTCCTCTCTTGCACGTTACATTCCACTCGACTACATCTACATTCCAGACTGTGTGAAGCTATTGGACTCTCAACTGGCCACAGAACGCACAGAAAGGACTCTCGAAGGCCTCATGTAGAATGTAGATCGCAGATGTCATGAAAAATCCAGTTGGATAGGCATTTAACGAAAAACTTGATCTACCCTATTGATAAATATATGAATTTAAAAAAAGAAGCGGTTTTCATCGAATGGGAGGGTTAAAATGACATACCTACAAATGTTTCGGTTCAGACATTTTGACCGTGGTCAGACATTGCGAGTCAGCTTTAAGAGCATATGACGTACGAAAAAAATGAATATAACTTCTCGCGTTTTTTAACCGAAACTAATTATTTTAAATTTCTTTTTGCACCTAAAGGTGATGCTTTAAAATTGTGTTGAAGAATACTACTGTAAATTTTGTATAAATTGTTTAGATAATTTTCCTTTTTATGGCAACAGCTTTCAATAGGGAAACTTTTGATAGCAGAGCGAATCTGGGCGTTTAGTCGGGAATCCATGTCCAAGACACTCCTGAAATAAAACGAGCTTTCTTGTTGCAATACAATTATTCTATTCTGATCTTGCTTCATCATTGGCAGAAAGAATATCCACAAAAACCATTTGTGCCGCTTAATTAAAAAGATAAAATGTCATAATAAATACACCATTTAAACCTAATTCTTTTATCTACGCGTTTTTACATCACGGGTCAGAATGTAACTTGAATTATCCCGAAAACTAAAATTTATGCGAGCGAACAATTTTAGTTCTCAGGATAATAAATGAAAACATTATTCAGGGCATCAATTTTTGGTTTTTGCTCCGGAAAAAGAAAGAAAATATTTCTGCAGTATATATTTACAGCAAACAATAACACAAAAATGTTCATTTATTTGACAAATGTATATTGTAAAAGTAACGAAAATTCATGGAGTGGGTGGGCGAAAGGCGTACCTGATGCCCACCTGAAACCTACCCTTGAACATAACTGAAGTCAAAGCCATTTATCGAATCAACATCAAAAGGTCACATGAAAAATATATATGTGCATGTATATGTATATATAAAAGTAGTTAACTCATTTCAAATTTTGATAGTAATAGTGATTGAAGTTTAAGAAAAAGAGGTCAACATTAGAGAACGGATAGAACGGATTTTTGCCATTTATCTGCTTTTTATTCATCTGAAACAAAAAAAGTCAAAATAGAAACAAGCATAGCACAGAACGTTCGGACCATAGTCTTACAAAAAACAAAAAATTTTTTCTAGATCTTAAGCGTATGCACAGTCAAAAAATGCATATCCACTGACATAAAACAGGAAAGTTGGAAAACAGTTTGTAGAAAACTTAATCAAAAAATGATTTTAAAAAAATCAAATCAATAAATTCAAAATTTTAGTTTTCTGCAGACATTTTTTGAAATTTGAAAAAAATTGAAAGCTTTTGATTCCCAAAATGGCGCCAAAAAACTCCTAAATTAACGCAAGCAAAACTAGGTTTTCATGGCTTGAATTCAGCATAAATAAGCAATTTTAAACCTGCTCGCTCAGCTTAATCGCTCGAAATTAGACCAAAAATCAAAATTTTTAAACGGGTTTTTCTCCATTCTGAGAAAATTTTTTGATGTTTTTCAAATCACGATTGAAAGGGCTGTAATTTGATATATCACTCAACGTTTTCCGATAATAATTTGTGGAGCTCGATTTTGCGTTGAAAACAAAAAAAAAGAAAACTAAAACACCAGAATACTACGTGCCTCCACATTTTCAATGGCCGGAAAAAAACGTTTCTCGAAAATTAATCTCTCAAATATTGTGGGTTTAAAGGCGATAATTGGTAATGGGAAGACCTGTGCATTAGTGGCCACTCACAAAGTTATCGTCCTGGGAAAAATCAATCTTTTGATTTTTTGAGCGTGTTTTTTCTAATTTTTATGAATTTTACCGAAAAAACCTACATCTGTTATGTTGTGTTCAATCCAAAGAACGATTTGTGGAAAGCTCCTTTGCATATGCGTCTACACCCAAATTTTGTAGACACAAAAAATTATGGCCCTCGGAAAAGTCAAAATGTCTTACCATTTTTTTGAAACTTGATTTTTTGCGCGAACTACCCTGCCAAACCTGGGTTTTTGGGTTCAATCGAAACTACAAGTTGGGCGAATTTCTTCTGCATAAGCGGCTATGTGCAAATGTTTGAAACAAATATGACGCGCTATGATTCTCAGAAATGTCAACTATCTGATTTGCTTACCGTTTTTTAGACTTTTCCTGATAACTATCCTGCCAAATCTGTAATCATAGGTTTAATCGTCGCAACAGTTTGTTAGAACCTTACCTTTGTAATTTGCTACGCCGAGTTTTTTTTTTTCTGAAAAAAGTTATGGCCTTCAAACAATTGAAGGTTTGAAGCTACGACCGTTTTTGAAATTTTGTGAATTAACTCGAAAATTATTGCGCCAATTCTCAGATTAAGTGTTCTTAAGCGTTCAATCAAGAAACCAGGTCTTGGGAAGCTTCTCTACTTCACCGGTCAGAAGAAAAAGTTACGGATTTCGGAAAGTCAAGTTCTTGAACTTGACCGTTTTAAGGAAAATTTTTGATTTTTCTTCAGAAGTACCCTATCAAATCTGAGATGAAAAGTTCAATGGAGAGAATTTTTTCTGCAGAAGTGGTTTTTTTAATTTATAGTAAAAGAAATGTTGTCTTTGGGAAAATTCCAAAATCTCAAATTTTCACTTTTTTCTACTAATTTAGTAGAAAAAAGTAAGGTTTTGGGCAAAGTCCAATTTTTGAAATTACGCATTTTGTGCCACATCAATATAACAATTTCAAAAAGTATCAAAGACGTGCATCCAGATGTCGCTGGGCCCTAGGTGTCCTTCATCTAGTTATACGAAAATTTTGGTTCTCCTAGTTTTTCAACATTTTTCGTTTTTTTTTGTGTGTGGTACTGCAGGTGGTGTGAAGCTCCACTTGGCCTCAGTGTTTTGAAAAGCCGCCATCTCTGTTGCGAAAACTTCAGATTTTCCCATTGATTATGATCATATGGGGACTTGGGTCAACTAATTAGCGTCAGTTTCATCTCCTTTATTCTGCTCAAGCAATGTTTTGTCGACATTTCTTTAAGATAGACCAAATTGATGCACCAAGCTCTCCAAAAACGCTGTAAAAGCGCCGCTGGCAGGTTTTTAAAAAGCTGGCCAAAAATGCCGTTTTTTTACCAAGATTTTGAACAAAAAATAGAATTTGTTCTACGTGCGCTCCCTCCTCAAAGTTAATTTTACTGAGGCCGAAGGTGAGTTTGGAAAACATTTACGGTCGGTTGGCTGAAAATGGATGTCGTTACCTAAAGTAGTACGAAAGGAGGGGGACCTTTGAGTGACGAGAGGTCAATTCCCTGAGCCTTCTCCCTAAACATTCCTTTGCGCAGCCAACAAATTTTTGGAGTAATTATCCGATTATAAGGTCCATCTAGCCAATACTGAATATTTGTTTGCGTAGCTTTTAAGCGAAGAGTTTTTGTTCTGTTTGAACATCCAAGCATATCAATTGAAACTATCTGATTTTAAGACTACTTGCACTAAACTTTTCAGTGACGTAAAATTTACCAAGTTAATCACATTAAAACAACACGCCTGTTTGGTCTAATTTCATTCTCTCTGTATTTTTCTTTCTCAGATTTTGAATGGCTTGTTATTCATAATCATTTCGATTTCGATAGCAATTAGTGTAGCTTAAATGGATGCAAAAAAATCTGCGAACCACAACTTATGTCTCCTAATCAAAAGAAACAAAGCAGTCCAGATGATTCGCGCAAAGAAATCGGCGAAAAGAAATTGGGGAGACGACCAATTTTGGGAAAGCTTTTGGCCGGTTTAATGTGCCTGGCATTCGTGTCTATCAACATCATATTCAAGGTGAGTTCTCATTGTTTTCATTTAGGGATTTTGTTCAGGCTACTCAAAAAGTGGTACTAAACAATGGCCTTCTCGTAGTTTTTTTCTCGCGATTTCAAGTTCCTCAAAGAACGCTTACGGGACAGCGAATGGGGCATAATATTAATTTCTTTTTCATGTGTGAAGTGGATTGAAAGCTGCAAGTAATTTTTTCCTTAACTCAATTTACAGGGCTGTTTGGAGCTGCTGGTCAATCGTTTCATTTATAAAAAGTTGATTTAATTGTTGTTTTGGGGCTTTGACCCAAAAATTGAGTTTTTTTTCAGAGAACCCCCCCCCCCCCCTCTCACATTTTGCAATTCGCTCTGATAGCTTCTGTAGAAAAATATCAGGCTTCGTCAACTAAAAACGGAAAACGTAAAGTAGAACCAAAGGGCGACCCTTTGGTTGTTGAGAGTGTCGAACTCGTGAGACCGAGGCTTTCGACCCCTCCACTTTCTCAATCCGCCCCCTAATGTTTGATAAGGTTTGCTTCTGTTTCAGAAATCGGCCATTGCTCTTCCCACTTTGTTATCCTTCCGCGGAGTCACCCATATTTTCGCCTTTGCTGCCGTTCAACTTTACCAGGTGCCGAATCCTTCGGAGGTGTACAAGTCAAACTGGAAAGTACTCGGAATTCGCGGAATAATAAGCGTAGTCGCCATTGCCACGGGAATAATATGTGTTCAAAACTTGCCATTGTCAGTATACGCCGTCATATACGAAACAGCGCCTGTATTTGCTCTAACCATGAGTGCAATAATCTTGAAAGAATGTCTTCCTATTTTGGAAATACTCCTGGGATTGGTCGCAATCTTGGGAATAGTCCTGGTTATTCAGCCTCCTATTCCTATTTTTGAAGTTGCTGATGCCACTAGGTCGCTTACTACACGTCAATATTGGTTTGCACTCTTAAGTATGGTCGTTCCGTTTTTCATGAGCACCGCTTTTGTTCTTTTGCGTCAGATGGGAACCAAAAGCAAACCGGTTCCAATTTCAGTGACCTCATTTACAGTGGGAGTCTTGACCTTGGTACTCGGAACTATCACTCATATGTTATTCGTGGGACCATCATGGATATCTTGCCTGACACCTGTGCAATTCGTTTACATTTGTACGTTCTCTCTTTTATCTTTTTTCAACCAGTTTGCAATGTATTTCGCTAATAAGTTCGAAAAAACACCGATCGTTTCTCTAATTATGACATTAAAAGTTCCGATTTTATTCGCTGCGGATCTTTTGCTTTTCCCGGAAGACGTGCAATCGTACACCTACTTACAATATGCTGGAGGAGTGTTGGTTTTTGCAGCTATTTTTATGCTGCTAGTCAGTAATTACTTCAAAGTAGGGAAGAGACTCAACGAAACGTGCAGAGGGGTCGTCACAACAACAGGAATCGAGTCACATTCATTGGAATCACTTAACTGAGCAATCATATTATTCATATTACTTATTAAACTGAAAACTAACTCAAACCTATTAAAAACATGCAATTTAGTTAGCTTGAAGCATTCAGATTTTTTTTAAAAAAATATGTAGCTTGGCTTGTAAATAAAAAAGTCCCGTATCCTTTCTTTTCAAATCGTTCATGAACTATCCTTATTTTAGCGAATATGGATGAAGAAGAGTCGTCACAGTAGGAATGGTCTAACTTTCACTGTGCTTCCGATTTCACTTTTATGTATTATCGCCTTTCAACAAAACAATCAGCCTGAGATGCTGTGAATGTTTCATTACGCGTGCAATTAGCAAGCATTATCAAATCGGAATATAGTTGTTTTTCGGGTTGGGACGGCAAAGGTCCTGGGTTCGAATCTGACCAGGATCTGTTTTTTTTCAAATGGGAAGTATTCTGTTTCAAATAGAATTATCGGCCAATTATTTGTCTGCTTATCTGTTGTCGGCTTATTTGTCAAATCTTGGAATTGCCTTTTTTGCTGCGCGCATTTTTTATTGCTGCGTTTAGTGTTTTGTTTACTCCTACAATTTGTATTTTTACTTGACTTCGTGTTTCCTTTTTTTGTTTTGCTAAAAAAGTTTCTCGGCTTAAATTATTTCGGCCTATTTTTATTCGGCCTGATGACCTAATTTTAGGTAGTTTCAATGAAAACCTAATTTTAACGCTCCCCTCCGCACTTCAAGTGCGTTGTATATTGACCATTCGGTTTGTTGGAATTTCTTTTTTATAGAAAATTATTTTCAAGTTTATTGAAAAAATTTTAGTTTGTCTCTTTTTATTACTAATTTTTTTTTCAAAAAAGGGGTATCAATTGAAAGACCGCCTACTCCCCTGTGAGCCTGCATACTCCCCTAGAGTCTCTCTCTTTTTACTTGACCCCTCTGTCTACAGCTTTCGAAAAAGTCTGTGGGGAAATATTTGACCCATATTTTTGATTTTTATTCGTTTTCTCGAAAACTATCCCTCTCAAACAAATCTGAGGTATTGGTTTCAATGAATAGAAATTTTTCGAAAAGCTCCCTGCATAAGCAAGTACGCCCAAAGTGTTTTTACACATCAAGTAATAGCCCTCGGAATAGTCAAAATATTCAAGCACAGCAAAACTTTTTAACGCTTGTTTTTTCCTCATTTGAGTTTTGTCCAAATTTAGTGCCGTTTCTCGCTTGTCTTTGCAAAGTGCAGTTCGCTTCTGTGCTGTATTTTTGTGAAATTTTGTTTTTTTTTCATTAGAAAGGTGAAATGCCTTCAAAAGCTTTGAAATCTCAGCAAATTAAAGTTTTTTATCCCAAAAACATTCTCATATTAGCCTTAGCTTTAGATTTAAAAATTTTTTCATAGCTTCGCATTTCTTAGCTTCGCAATAATTTTTTGACGTTATATCTTTGCCCTAATTCTAATCGGTCTTCTTAATTCAGCCAGTTTGCGAATTTCGAAACTATTCTGCGGTTAAATTTAGCTGATAGCTTTTTTTGTTTACTAAAAATCTTTCAACTCATTTTACTTTTTCACGTGTACTCTTTTTTGAGAAAAAAAAGCTGATTTTGATTTAACAAATTTGTTGGTTTATTGTGGCGACCATTAAGATTGAAGTAACTAAGTCTTCAGGTGTGATTTTTTTTCCACGCAAAAGCATGTATTACAAATCTTTTTCAGAAATGGTTGAGAGATATATCATGTTCAAGAGAATCATTGGAGATTCGAACGATATCCGAAAAAGTTTTCCCTGCTGTACAGGGGCGCATCTAGGATGTTCTCGAGGGGGGGGGGGGATTTTCAAAAAATTTTCGAACAATTTGACCTTTTTTTTAGGTCGACCAAATTGATTTTCGAGCTCTACCAAAGCACTACAATGACCCTGTTTTGGTCAAAATTTCTGCGCCGCTTGCAAAAAGCGTTTTTTGGAAAATTTTGACAAAAAAAAGAGTTTTTTGGCGCGCGCCCCCCTCAAAGTTAGTATATATTGGTGCCAAAGGCGCCTCTAGAAAAATTTTAGTGTCGGTGGGCCAAAAATGGATTTCTTAAAAAGTACCAAAGGGGGACCCTTTGGTTAGGCAGGGGATCGAATCCCTGAAGGAAGCGTCCGCCCCCCCCCCCCCCCCCTAAATCCGCCCCTGCTGCTGTATATTAGACCCGACTTAATCTTAAATTTTTTAAATGTATGCCACATGTTCATTCGAGTAGAAGTTATGTGTATCTATCATGTTTTGAGGCTTTCGGTGTGGATGTGAGGCAATATGTTCTTTAGCTGGCACATCTTTTGCTTTCTGTTTACTTTTGGCATTCCATATATAAATTCCAAGATTTTCACCAAAAGGAATTTTCCTTGTTTTTGATTGTTGCGTGAACGAAATACAGGAACCAATGAATACATCTTCAAGCTTTGTGAAGCAATTTTTCTTCAGATTTTGGGCGAAGTTCGATTCATTTTGGCCTGTGCAATGATGTGGACAGTCTATTGCTAACTCGTGTACGGAAGTCATTGATATTATGTACAGCGCCCCGAAACAGAAAAAGGGAAATTTTTGGTCCGGATATTCGTTCTTGCTGACACTTTGCAGGCCGTTGTTTCTTAAAACCTGTCGAATTGAGCATTCGGCTCCTGTGAATATTCTACTGCGCTTCTTATTAATTTTACTGGTATTATTACTCGAATTTGTCTGTACGTTTTGTTCTGGGTTCATTTCTTCGTCAATTTCACTATCAGCTAGCAGTTGTTGAGCATTTATTACATAATCGAGTCTCGCTATTCGTAGGTAAGTATCATCGTCTGTTTTGATTACATAATCAGCTTTCGGACAGTAGCATGACGCGATTTTTAAACCCACGAGTAGTTTGTAAGTTATAAGGTAATATCCTTCGCTAACATTAGCAGAAACAACATCTCCGAAAGTTTTCATCTCTGTTTCGATCAGTTCTCTGTCGGATTCATTCGTCGGTTTTCCGACAAGGAAAAAATAAGACCAATTTCCATACAAGGAAGACGCTTTGTAATGGTTAATTGCACCCCACGTTTCGCGTACAGCATTGCGTTGATCGGTTGCTGCAAATCGACTAAAAATGATGATCAGTCGTAGATTAGTTGCAGATGGATCACAAATTGAGATGTTGCGTGATATATTTGACAGCATTTGATCACCTAAAGGAAGTGAGCGATGAGCATTTCAACTGAATTACTTGAATTAAAGTTTTGGCCTTTTTGAAACATTTATTTTTAGACATGCGAAGCGGAGTTTGCCACCACTCTCGATAGAGAGAAACATTCTTCGAAAACAGTCACTACAATCTTCATTTTTCCAACTTCAATGAAAAATACGAAATAATCAAGCTTTAATCAAATAAACAGCGAAGACAAGCAAAAAATGTATAAAGTAATATCGAAAAAACCGAATCATTTCATTTTCGAAATGAAACATCATATCGGAGAACACGGCTAGTGAAGTCATTAGTCGCAATTTTTTTTTAAACGTGAAGATCGTAATATAACAGCGACTAATAGATGCATGACCAAAATGGCAGAAAAAAATGCGGCAAAAAAGGCTGGAAAATCTGTATTTAGAGTTGGATTAATCTGTATTTCGGAAAAACTTGATTGTGTAGATACTCTCAATCAGCGTTTGGACAACGGTTTTTTGCAATTTGGTACTGACAATATTTTGAGGTATCTAGTAGCTTCATGTTTTATATTGCTGAAATTTTGAGCAGTTCAAAGTTTTCATCATTTATGCTAAATCTATTTCGATTCGCGTAAAAGTTCAGCCGGCTCAATTTTTTTGAGGTCAATTTTTCTGAGGCGATTATTATTCAGTTACAATAGAAGTGAATTATTAACAATTATCTAGTATTAAAAAGGAGGCTTAAAACTGTATAATGAGAGGTTGAGGCGCAAGTTTAACAAGCCTGACTTTAAAATTTTGCTTCAACTTGGCTTCATAATCTTCATCGCTACCTGGAGGCATAAAGTTGAAAGGGGCGTCCGGATGAGTGGTATTTCTGTATGGCCGCTCTCTTTTCATACATTCCATGTTGAAGTCTATGGTCTTCGGATTAGAAGTTTCTAGGTAACCTTCAAATAAATAAGGCATATGAAAATCGAGTTTGGAGAACGTTTGTATGTTTGATGCTTTCAAGCTCACGTAAATTGATGTCGAAAGGCAAATTAGGATGCCTGAAAAAAATAACTTAGGGTTAAAACGACTTTTTTTAATTTTAAGAGACATTATTTTTAAGAAGCCCCGCTGTGACGAGATAAATTGAATTCTCAAGCTTCAAGTAAAGTATGCAACAAAGCGACAAAGCATAAATGGCTTTTTGTCCAAAAGTTTCATGTGATAACTATGATGAAAATTCCTTTGTTGGAAAATTGGTTGAATATTTTGTTTAAAAAATAATTCAGAGAATCAGTTTGGCGCCATGCATGCAAGTAAGGAATGAATAGATATTATTGCTAAATTTTTTTAAATTTATAAACTAAAAATATTATTCCATTTACATCAGTGAAATGGATGTGGCGGAAGTTGAAGGTGCGCCGATGGATCTAAATACAGTCCCCCCTCGCCACCCTCATTTCACCATGGTATGTGGCAGAGATTTTCCACGCCTGTAAAGGACTGATTCAAAGGTGTTTTAAAACTCAGCAGTTTGGTCATGCTTTTGATTTCAAATGCAAATTAATAATTTCTCGCAGTGGCGGGTCTGAATTTTTCCGTTTTTCAGACTAAATTTCCCATGTAATCATATCGAAGCTAACCTCGATTTTGTTATTGTTTGCTATTGTTTCCCGTGTTTATAACTTATTAGACTATTCATTTCTCTTTCATTTGCTAAGAGAAAAACGGAAGAAATATCTAAAACAAATTGAAAAAAAAAGCTCCCATTTATAATTTTTATACAAAAACATACGTTGCATTTTGCATTTCTGGTTGAAATTCAAGATTTGAAAAAGCATGCTTCTTATTTAAACACTTGATGATACTTTACGCTCGTTGTTTTTTTTTTTTCAATTAAATTTGAAACCGAACTTCAATGAATATATCATTCATCGAGAATATTGGTTTGAAAATTCTATTTTCAGGATGAAAAATTATGCATTGCAGATCGTAGACTGCTACTCTATAGCCAATCAGTGAAACTTATGCGTTTAAAAAGGCACGGCAGCTCTGTTTTACCTTTGCGATTAGCAAGCATTGTGAAATCGAAATATATTTTGGGTTAAAAACTTATTTAACAAAATCCACTTGAATCATTTGTTCTGCTGGCAAGCTCAGTTCCGTAAAATTCCAATTTAACTACTAGCCACTAAAACTAGTAACTAATAGTATTTTTTGGACTAGAATTCTAACCATTGTGTGTTTAATTGTAGAATTTCAAAGTTTTAATTTTTTGCTGATTGTTTTTTGGCTTCATGCTTGTTGACTTTAGCTGTGTCGGTTTAGTTTCTGAGTTTTGTATACCATTTTTATGCAAAACGCATACAGAAGCCGTAGATACTGTGTGGGTGGTGCATGAATTTCTTTCAAATACGTTTTTTTCCAATTTTTTTTTATTGACTTTCAGCATTTGGGTGTCGGCTTTTTCCGTCTTGTTACATAGTATTTTGATTCTTCAAAATATTCGATAACTTTAAGACCAACTAGATTGAGAAAAAAATGAATACTTGAAATTATTCCCTTAACGGCGGCTGTCTTTAAAAAGCCCATATACATTTAAACATGAAAAGACTGTTTTGATATGAAAAATTACTGTGTTATTCTTGCACTTACCTCAATGATTTTCTACTTCCTACCTCAACCAGTCAAATTGCTTAATTTTTTACAGTTTTTTTGTTATCAATTTTTGTCGTTTTTTCTGAGTAGATTCAAATCCCTTAAGAAAATTTGAAATAAAAAAAAACATCTTTTTACACAAGCAAAGCTTGTTATAGTATGAACTTTTTTTCAACTTAAGTCGCAAATATTGTTGCGACAAAATGTGTTTACTTTGAAAGTGTTCATTTTGATCATTAACCAGCTATTAAGTACAGCTAATACTAAGGATATTAACAGAATCTTTTATTACTAAACGCACTTTAGGTTCAAGGTACCATGGATCTGTTGCGTAGAGGTAGGGAACCAGCAACAGAAAAGAGGTTTCGAATCTGGGAAGCATCGGATGTTTTTCATGAGCTTTTTCGTATACTAGCCAAAATGCGTCCGCTCTATGAATTGAGTCAAGTTAGTTGGTAAATTTTTTTTTCAAATTGACTGGTACTACTAATGCGTCATAATTGGCCTGCGTCACTTTATAATTATTCAGACTCATAGTTGGCGTGCGTCAATTAAGATATTTTGTAGATTCAAAGGTCTACTAATTCAGTTTTTTCCAATAGCGTTATCGGTCATATTTTTGCTTGTGTATGCGAAGTACAACTTCGCCTCAGTGTTAAAAAATAAGTTGAGCGTTGAAAATTTTTTGATTCTTTGGTTGTGCAACTGGATAATTTTGCATACTTTTTTCTGATGCTGGTATATAACTTCGTGAGTTTTTTGCTTATCTTTTCGCCTAAATTCGTGAGTTTTTGCAAGTCTGAACTTCTGTCATATCTAAAATTAAGCCTATCGGAAGTTTTGCTATGTTTATTTGAGTTAATTTCCACTTTTTGTCCTAATGCATCTTTTATTTTTTTGGTTTTTATCATATAGATATTATTGAACAAGTAGCAATATCTTTTACACTCTTTTCTTTCAAGTTTTGGTGATTTTTTTTCACGTCCAGCTATTATTGATTTCGTTCTCGGGTTTTTTATTTTTTTAGAAATACTTAACGGTGTGTCATATTTATAATTTTCATTTCAATAACAGTTTTTGTATAAAATTTGGTTTAATTATTTTTCTGTGGTATTATTGTTTTGTCTGATTGGAATGTTTGTTTGTCTATGGAATTGAAAATTGGTAATTGTTTTGACGTGAATATTTCTCAAAATACTATTATGGTTTTTCTAGTCCAGTTATCTTTTCTCAATCAATTTATGCTTCGTTTTATTTTATTTTTTTGTAAGAGTTTTCGGAAAAATTGAACATATTCAATTAAAGGAACGTTTTTTTGAAGGGCGTTTGATGTTCCAATTTGACTTGGCTCCAGTAAATGGAAGGGAGTTTGTTAGGTCTTTTTACTCTTTGCCTTATTTGAAAAAGAAATCAATTAATTGCGAATTTACTACTGATTTCCTTGCTTGTCTTCTGGTCAATTGATGCGGTCCAGCGATGTGCATCAAGTTTATTTTTCTGCTCAACATTTTTTTCATCACTCAATTTTCTTCGCACCCTGCAAAAAATGGCAGCAAAACTTCTGGTAAATAAATCCTCAGTTGTAGTTGCACTTCAATCCGCTACGTACGTTGTTCCTAACACAGAAAGCGTGGAGGCTTTTTGCATTCGGGTGTTTTTTCTTGCCAGTTATGGCACCGCAACAGAATGTAGCTTAGCTTTGAGTCATATATTATATTGAAGCCCTTTTAACCCAAGTTCCAGCTGCAATATGAGCTTTCAGAACTTTTTTTTTGTCGAGAAGCACTGATCTGAACATTTTTGCTTTCCAACTCCTCATCCCTGTTTCGACCATTTTTCTTCATCGATAGCTTGGCGGTCTTTCTGAATTATTCGCATGTTTTATTTCTGTAAGATAAGGTGCTACAAAAATATGTTGTAGGAAGTAGAGTTAAATATCATTTTAAGGCCATTTCAGTCATGATTCGTTCGATATTGTCGAGAAACATATCAGGGGCAATTTCAGGATTTTCTCGAGGGGGGGGCGGATTTTTAAAAAAAAATCGAAAATTTTCTCGACCTTTTATTTAGGTCGACTAATTTGACTTTCCGAGCTCTACCAAAGTAATAAAAAGACCCTGGTTGGGCCAAATTTTCTGCGCCGCAGGCAGAATTTTTTGAAAAAAAAACAGGCCAAAAAAAAGTTTATAGGCACTTTATGGAAATTTTTGCCCAAAAATCGCCTTTTTTCGGCGCGCGCTCTCCCCTCTTAATTAGTATATAAAGGCGCCAAAGGTGCCTTTAGAAAAATTTTGGGGTCCGTCAGCCAAAAATCGATATCTTAAAATAGTTCAATGGGGGGACCCTTTGGGTCGGCGGGGGGTTGAATCCCTGAGGGAGGGGCGTCAGCCCCCTCCCCCCTAAATCCGCCCCTGAAACATATTTTGTTACAGATAAAAACGCATGTTCTAAGTTTATTTTTGAAACACTAACTAGGTACAATAATTAGTCACCCAACTATATGTATAAATAATTTTAAGGCTGTAAAAACTATCACATATCACTGAAAAGAGTTCAAGTCGTTCGTCAATTGTTTTCGGTTTTTAGTCACTGTCTTCTCTGGAACATTTTCGCTGATTGATCTTTTTCGGCATGAGTTTGTTGCTACAGGCAGGTTCGGGTCGCTTTTTTGTAGTCGAGAGTTAGTAAATCCGATTCGTGATAGAATTTCCGACTCGTCACGACTCAACTCGGATGCGAATTGGACCAATTGCCCCACGAAGTTAAGATTGGGTGATATTTGGGGACGCGTGTTTTGCACGTATTTGTAGGCTGTCATAAAAGGAAGTTTCAGGTACCACATGACGTAGGCGACCACGAGGGTGGCCGAACGAGAGATTCCCGCAGAGCAGTGAACAAGCACAGAACTGTTTGATAGCCGACCTCTTTCTAAAACAGAAAACTTGAAATCTTTGTGATCATCATAAGTTAAGTTTTTCAGGAGCGATCATGCTTTAATACATGAAAAAGTATAGCCCATAAATTTATAAATACTTTAATTTTCAGCAGTTTATTTTTCGGCAGTTTGATGTAGCGACAGGGATCTATAGGATTATCGCGAGAATGGGCATTGAAAAGTTTTTACCAAAAACCATTTCACCCTCAGGTAAGTATGTATTTTGGTTCCGAAGTAACTGCTTTAAATAATTTTTGATTTGGGACGAATAATGAAAGTCAATAGTTCTAAAAGTCATGCTGGCAAGGGTATCGTGTTCCTGAGGGTTGGGTGAATTTAATGCTACTTTCGCGGCAAGTAATAATAATAAAAGGTCGTTTTTTTTGCACCTAGAACTAAGTATGTTTTGAATTAAGTGTCATTTCTTACCTATAAATTTGATGATCTGTACAAAATATTGCATTAAATCTTGCTGTGGCGAGTCTAAGGCTGCTATGTTTAAAACTTGTTGACCATTTGGTGAAGTGTGCTCGTTCTTTGTCCCATTTCGCAACTCAGTCGGTTCCGAAATCTGTCGACTATATATTGCCCCATTTTCATCGCTCTTTTCCGAATATTCTGTTTTTGTCACATATGAGTCATTTTTCTTGAGTTTGTTTTGCGTGATTGTCTGATCCTGAAGTTTGTGATATGACTTCCCTGATTTGTAGTTCAAAGTAGTTGTCGGGATCTTGTCGTTGCATCCGCAGTTAATGATGAATTGCACGTTGTGAGTTTTGAGGTAATGACTGTTTGAGGCATCTTTAGATCCCCCGAGGTAGAGGAAAGGAAGGATTCGGGAAGGCGTGCTCCCCGCTGATATGTGTTCGTCTAGACTGCTGGGTTGTATAGGACTCAACACTCGCTTGGAAGGGGAGAGAAGAGAAGGTATTGATTCACCTGAAAGGAAAATTTTTGCGATACAAAAACCCCAATTTCAATTAAACTCTTGTGACCATGTATGGTCACTACAAGTATGATTAAAACCGGTACAAGTATGATAGTTGGGTCCCAGGAGAAAGCAAATATGAAAGCTGTCCCGAAATTTTTGCGAAAAATTTCAAAAACAGAAGTAAACATAAATTGCAAACCACAATTTTGAAGCTTTTAAGGTCTTTTAAAAATTTTTCTTCGGGACTCATCTATGATAGAGTGGTCCCTCGAAAAAGCAACTATGATAGACAGGTCCCGCATGCATTTCGCATGTTATAATTTCGAAAACTAATTTGTGTATAAATTATTCATTTTAAAAATCTTGCAAAATATATTCAGCCAGAAATTTTTCAGATTGAAATTGCAATCACTATTGTTTATATATTGAAATTTGCTCGCTTTACTTTATTTCACGGTTTAACAACCATATAATTGGGTTGACTTATTTGTCATCAAAACCCACTATTGGAGGTTTTATTTTTAATTTTCAACCTTATAATGCTGAGGGGGGAGGTTTTAAGAGGTAACAAAACATGAAATTTGTTTGAAATATACTGCGACATCTTTTTGAAAGGCGTAATCATAATTATTAAACAATTTGAGAGCTCTAGGTGTCTTATTCTCAAGGGACCTGGTTATTTGCAAGGGACCACTATCATAGTAGTACCAGGGGCCCAACTATCATACTTGTGCCTAAAAGCCAAATGCCCCTTTTACTATAAAAAAGAAGATTCACCTCTAAAACTCCCTGATCTGATGAATTTTGTACTTCAATACCTCCGGAACGATAAGCATAGCATTCGAAAAATGGTGGGAAAGAGTGAAAACCTTCTAGTTTGGATCTGTGTCAAAAATGAACTTACAACTGAAGAATGCGTCTGTGGTGTCAGGGACCTGTTTGGAGCTGACAGGAGGGAGAGACAGTGGCAGGAACATTCTACAACAAATGTTCATTCGCAGTTAACTCAAAAAGTGAAATCGGAATATGCGATGTAATAGATTTGACCCGAATGTGGCAGCAATTTCAGGGGCGTGTAAATTAATGAAAATTAAAGGATAAAATTTTAGTTGAAAGTTCAATGGGCTCAAAAATAGTTCGGATAACTTTTTCTAAAATTTGAGAACAGAAAAAAACGAAGGACTTTGAGGTGAATTTGAAAAAAAACGGATTCTGCTGAAATTGAAGTACAATTTCTGATAACAGAAATCTAAATATTCAAGGCGTGAGATGCGAGTTATAGCAACATAGAACAAAGGAAAAGATTTAAAAAAAAGAACAAGAGAGGCAATTGAAAAAAGTGTATTTGGGGATGATTAATCCGCCGACCGCGATGAGTAAAAGGCAAGCGTCCAGGTCTCTTATGAGTGATTGAATGAGCAATATTGTATATAGTTGTAAATTAAAGTATTTGTTGTGCTAAAAGATGCTAGATGCAGTAAGTTGAAGAACGAGTTAATCACCTTTTTGTTGTGTCAGTACCAGTAACTCACTATGACTAGACTGCTTATCCGAATCCGACCGGCGGATGAGAAATGATGATGATAATTAGAGTTTATAGACTGTAAATAAATTTTTATTGTCTGCATTTATGTTGTTTGAGATATTTTTTCATGTCCAGAACGAGATATAATTGAAAAATTTCAATTTTAATTAGATAACTAATTTTGAATTAAAAAGAAATTGAGATAGGTATTTCAAATCGGTGAATCAATTTTTGTTGCTGTTTTACTGAATGTAGTTTCGGAAGTCCGCAGACAAGTGATTGCTAATAGTTTGTTTCGATGCTTAGTCATCAACAGCTATATCTATAAAACCATTTGCAAGGCTGCTCAAGATTGATAATGGTGTTGCTATAGTTATCATCAGATTTTATGAGTCACGTGTCAATGACCTTATATGGTATGTGCAGTTTGAAAGGTGGTTTGACGTTAGCGTGGTTCACAAACAGATACGGTGCTGCTATTATAGTTAAGCACAGCTCAGTCAAACGCTTTGATACTTTCTTTGATCGGTCTAATTATACTGTTTGGCATCAAATTAAGTTATCGTTCTTAGAAATAAGAAGGTTTTGAGAAAATTGACATGACTTGATATTAGTTGTTCCCATGACAAACGGCTGAAAATAGACTTTGCTAGAAATGACTCAAGTAAGAACAAGAAACTATCTCCGAAATAGTTTCGTTCGCATAGGTGACAAGATAGGGGACCAGTCTATTAGCATGTGTGTCGATTAGCATGTCAATGTAAAAGAATGTAGTTTTGAGTTAGGACCGAGTTGGTTAACTCATAGAGTAATTTCGGATAGGGTACACCGTCTGCTCGTCACGCTATCTTATTTTCGGCCGGATAGATTCGTGCAACTTCTTAGTCTAATACCGATCCTAATCTTACTCTTATACTATCTAGTCTCAGGTTGTTTAACTAGTCTCTGCTAGGCTCAATAGATCTAGGGTATACTGGTTTATTGCGGCTGCTGAAGTGCTCGGGAGAGTCCAACTAATTTCTAAGTTAAATTCAAATCTCTCTGGTGCTGAAATTACAAGTAACTTCAGCACTTACAAATAAGTGGGTTGTTAGTTAGATGGATCATGATTGGTTAATATTAAATACTTTACATTGGTAAAATATCTAAATTATCCAATCATAAAATGTAGTTTAGATCAGGTTCCACCCATCCGGGTTTTACAGAGTTTTTTAGAATAGTTCTTCTGCAATTCGAAGGATGGATGATGGAAGTTGGTGTTTGGCGAACATCTTATTTCTTCTGTTTCCTTTTTGTTAAAGAAGTTCCAGGAAGCTGGAGTTAGAGACATAAGACGTTGTGTCTTCTAGTGACAACGACTAAGTCTTTGCAACAAACTCAAATCTGATTTCAGAATGGTTGGCTATGTCAGGTTTTTCTGTTCTGCGTGGAGAACTTCTTTTGTGTCTGATCTAGTTTGGGAATGGCGTGGAGATTGTGCGTGGAGGGGATGCCTGGTTACTCGGATCTGTACGTATACTTGAACATCGAGGTGGTCATTGGTCTAGTTCAATGAAGTCCTTTTCTGCGAAGTCAAGTCGTACTCTAAATCCTTTGAGTTGTGATTGTGAGTGGCATATCGATTGTGGTTGGTCATTCTCTCTCGAGTGTAGTGGGGTCGTTCTGTCTTTAGATGTTCGTCCTTGGTGTTGTATTCTGATCTATGTATTGCATAATGTAATTTACATTTTATAAAACATTTATTAGTTTAATATTTTTTAGTTATGATTTTAGTTAGTTGTTTTCACAAAAGCTTTTTGTTTTAGTTCGGTTATTTTGAAGAGTTACTCACACTTGAGTAGCTCTTATTAAAAATAGAGGTGTGGTCACAAAGCGTGGGTGTAGCACGGTGGGTTAGGCCGGCTATAGAGCATGCTCAGGACGTCCTTCCTGGTGGGTTAGGCCAGGAGTGGGAGTATGATTTCATGCGGTTTTTGTGAGGGGTCCTGTTATGTGACAACGTTTTATGTTGGGTTTGTTGTGGTTTTTCTTATGTTTTGTTGGTTGTGTCCTTTTTTCAAAAATCAAATTGTTTGTGGTATGGGTTTGTCTTTCGACTTTTTTGTGTTTTATTATTTCTTTCTTAGACTTTATAATAGTCTTCAAAAGAATAAATTATCCAGTTTTAAACTGGGTTAATCCGGTTTGGGTACCGTTGGTTTCCTTTTCTTAGTCATGCTGTTATTTTATGATTTGTGGTATTTAGTAAGCTGCGTTGGTTAGTTTTGTTTAGTATATGATTCCTTTCCAACCGGGTTAAAGGAAAGTTTGAAACATGTTATTATATGTTAGAGTTGTTGAGTGTGAAAACTTGAAACTGAAATTCATTATTTTAAACAATTCTTCGTGGGCGAGCTGTGCGAGTGTGGATAGAATTTCTGTGCGAATGAATGAAAATATCAAAAGGTTAGTACTGCAATTGCATTTCATTAATTTACTGCATAGAATTTGGAAATTTACTGCTAGTTATGGGGGAATTTTAAGTTACAAATTTTCATTATAATTAGATTTACTGCTTGTGGGGAAAATTTTAGAAATGAATTTATTGCATTGGTATTAAATTTATAAATTTATAAGTGTAAGAGATTAATAGAATTTTTGAAATCTGTTTGATGAAATTTGCGATTTTTATTTGTCTTTTGTGGTCTTTGTAGGTGATTGTCGGATGAAGGCTAAAAATCTAAATAAAACATGGATAAAGTATGGTGAGTTTTTTAATATTTCAATTAGTTAGTTATATTCATTTAATTCATACTTACCTGTTTAGTCGTCGGGGAAAAAACCGTGGGGGAAGATGTCGTGAATTAGTTCTGAAGTTGTTAGTAGTTTAGCTAAGATGCGGATGATATTTTTAGTCTGAAGCAGTGGCCAAAGCAATTGGAGTGCCTTGATAGTGGTTAGTTCTTCAGTGCCAACTGCAAACTCATAAGGTGTGTTTTGGATTAGATTATATAATTTGTGATTGAATTTAGTGTTGTGGATGAATTCTAAAATTGGGATTTCTATAGGTTGTACAAACTCGTGCGGGATAAGGAAGGGTCGGGATTCTTCGGCGTTGAAGGTCTTGGTGATGGGACAGAAGATGTACATTTGGGTTATGGGATCATAATTACGAAGAATACCATGAAGGTTAGTATCTTTAATACAATATGTGAAATTTAGGAAAAATGGTGAAGTGTATTTGGAATTAATGAATTGAAATCGATGGTGTGGTTGTCTAGAGGGTGTGTGTAGGTCAAAGTGATTTTGGATGAAGCGATAATAACTATATGTGTTTAGTGCGCAACATAATATCGTGTGAGCAGTGTAAATCTCTTTCGTGTGGTGCAAGGAAATGAAAGGTTAGTGAAAATATTTGGAAGCGTTCTTTAAAACTTTCGTATGCTTGTGTGTCTGTTAGTGCTTCTGAAATAATGTGATCAAACTTTCGGTCGAAGATGTTTAGTGTAAATATATATGGTGTCTTGATGAAAAATTTCTCGGTAATTTGTGGATTAGCGAAGCGATCGTCGTCTAAGAATTGATCTTGGTTAGCTCTGATGATGTTGTGATCATAGTATTCGAGTGTATATTCGTTAGCTCTAGGTGCAGTGTGTGTTTTTAGTGATTTTTTATATCCAACGTAAGTAAATTGTCTAGCGGTTAGTGGTGTAGTGAGTCGATATAGCATGTCCGTATTTCGCTCTATATCGATGTGAGTGTTAGATAAAGGTAAGCAAAGAGGGTTAGTAAAATGATAATATGAGGTCCAAGAGAGAGTGGGCATTAAAACGTATTCATCTACAAAGTTGCGTGTTTCGTTAGTGTCGTGGGGGGTGTTTAAGGTGTATTGTGGGAATGAGGGTAAGGTGATGGCTAAAAATTCTTTTGTGTTAGTATGCTTGGGGTGGTTGATGTATTCACGGGCTGTTCCTGGTTTTGCTGGGAAAGGATGGTTGGGGAACTTTCTTTTAAAAGTGCGGTAAGCTCTATTAGTGTTGAGTGAAGATTCAGTTGATGTGGATGATGGTGCTAATGATTCAGTATAATTTGAAGAGGGTGTAGGGGTAGGGGGGTTGGATGAATTTATTGTGGAGGAGATTTGGTTTATGGTTGGGGTATTAAGGTGGTAGGGTTGTTGTTGAAGGGTAATAAAATTATCTAGCTCTGGGGAGATTCGGGGGGTGTCTGGAGAATGAGATGATTGGTCAGAATGGTATGAGGAGTAGGTTGGGGTAACTTGGGAAGCATAAGAGGGTGTGGGAGTAATGGGGTCAGGGTTATTGGATAATATGGGTTGAAAAGGGGGTTGAGAAAAATTAGAAGAGTTATGGAAATTATTGGATGGGGATGGTTCTGAGTCGGCGAATTCATCGGGGGTTTCAATATTCGGGTTATTGAGTTGTGAGATGGAATATAAAACTGAGATGTGTGAATTAGTGTCGGAATTCATGCCTGATGTTACATTACTAGATGGAAAATCGGGTGGCGGAAAAGCAAAAAGTGGTATTATTGGGATTGGAGAGGTAAGATTGGTTGGGTGGGAATTTGATCGGTGTAGTGATCCAAGTTGGCGGCTCATCGTGGGCTAAAAAAATGATTATTTTGAGACTGAAAAGCGGTGGTATGGGGTTGTTCAATAATTTGTTCATAAGTATTATCATCTTGTGACTGGTGTGTCATTATATGTTGAATGGGACTTTGTGATGTGGTGAGTCGAAAATTTGGATTATGTGTGATGGCTAAATTTCGAAAATTTCGTGGGACTAGGGATAGTGGATGGTTATTTGGTAGGGGTGGTAATTGTGGTGCCGTTGGCGTTATGTCTACATTGTTATGTTCTTCGTCGTATGTATTTTGTCGTGTTGCTATTTTTGTGTTATATTCTTTTATTTGTGCGTCTAAAAGAATTTTGTTTATAGATGTAGAAAAGATTCCAAAAAATCCTGCAAAGAGTATGCGTGCTACGCTTGCTTGTCTGTTTACTTGTGTGTGTATAGCACATGTGTTGTAGATTCCTTTTAAAAGTGAGAAAAGAAATCCAATAAAGTTAAACATTGCGTATAAAATAGTCAATTTTTCTAAGATGTAATAGGGCCATCCTAGAAAATCGAGGATCTCATTTTTGAGTGTAACAAAGCTAAAAATGTTAATTGGTGATATATCTTGGGGACGGTATTTTTCACCGTTTAGATATATATAATCTTTAATGTCTTTAAAATATCCGCTATAGTCTTGCGTGTAGATATCGGCAAATCCTGCGGTTTCTGCAAGTTTGCGTAAATTTTGGTCTATTGATTGTCTTTGTATAGTGTCCATTTGTGTCAATAATTCTTGGAATTGTTGTGTTCTAATGTGATGTTGAATATCTGATTTTGAATAGATTCCTATTGATTGTAAGTCTATATTTGGGTTTCGAGCAATAGCGCGAATGCTTTCTGGTGAAAATTTTTTGAGTGATTGCATTAATGTGGGATATGGAGTGAGAAGATAATATTTATTTTCATCAGGGTTTAGTTGTACTACATTGTGGCTGTTTTCTGATCCACATGGGACTGCGGTATCCCAGAAATAGGTTCTTCGTGAAAGTGTATCCACGAAATGTACTTTATTCTTATAAAAGATAGGGATTCTTTTATAACATCGTTTATCTTCAAAAACGTATAGTGGTGATACTTTTTTAGTACAAGTATAAAACCATA